CGGAATTTTGGGAAGGTTTCTGTAGGGGCAAATTATCCAAATATCACCAACCCCTTCCTGGTTCAAATTTGGAATTTGTTCACGCTGGGAGCCGCAAAGTGATGCCAAATGGATCCAGAGTGATACATTTGAAGAACCAGTAGAAACAAAAACACAACTGTTTGAGTCCCAATAGGACCCCAAATGTATCCATTTCCCATCGATCTTGGACTTTGTGCACTGCGAGCTTTGCAAGTGTGTTTTTTTTCGCCGCTAACATGCGATGTCCGCATTGGGCTGCTGCTGCAACCTCGCCTGTGGCAAACAACCCAGCGCGCCAAGAGTATATCATGCTCCGAAATGGAAAAGGATGCAAAATGAGGGGATACTCAGTTGGTCCAGAGTTCAAACTATGTCAACCATGCAATACGAGTTTTCCGGTTGTTTGCCCCTTCATCCTCTTTCTTGAATGATTGGACCCCATTGGAGTGGAGGGAATCAGCACCAAGGTCCTGCCACCAGATCTTCATCCCTGCCGCAACGCCCACCCAGCCTCAATCTCTCCGAGTAGGTAGGGAGTCTCCAAGGACGGGAGCAACGCCAAGAACCGGGTTGAGTCTACGAGAAGGTGAGGTTATCGATGCATGGACAACTGTCAACTTTCAGCAAATCCGGGGCATTCTTGCATGTTGCATCATGTTGCTAGTCCATGACCTTCACGATCTTCATGTGATTACATCACGGTCCCAAGCTTCAAGGCTATCCACAGCGATCTGCTTGAACATTTGCACCTGGGAATCAGGCATTCCATCTGGAGCCCATTGCAATCCAGCCAGCTTCTCCCTTCCAATGCAAGCCACGATGCAAAGAGCGTGCAGGTAAAGCCCTTGCTCTGAGGGATGCTCAAGGTCCTCATCCAATAAACTCATGTCCTCCATTCCAATCTGCTTCATCAAGCTGTGCGCAAGCCCACCTGGTGCAATTTTCAGCCCATCATGGGACTTTTCCGCCATCTTGTGAGCGAGACAAATATCATCCAAGCTGGTGTGCGCAAGGCGCTCATATGGATGAGCCATGTACATTACTGGCATGGCATCCACTGACTTCACGAGCTCCAAAAACTTCGAAAGGACGGGGTTGAACTGTTGGCAAATCACTTCCAGGCGACTAGCTGAGTCACCTTTCTCCGGATATTCGGGGAGGTCATCCTGTAAAACCACAATGTGCCAACCACCTTCAAGTATTTTGGCCTTGGCTCGACCAGACCGCCACAGCTTTGCCAGAGTGGCACCTGGAATGGTCTCAGCAGCAGCATCGAAACCCCAGTTGCGGAACATCAAATCAATACCGCCGCACCAGAAGGTCAGCGAATTTCCAATAAACAGAATTCGGACGGGGCCAGCAGTTGGCCATGGCATTGTAAAGTTGCGCTACCTACGACAAGTCGCCATCCTTGTTAAATAGAACTAGCTTTGAGCCGTCATGCTCTTCTCGCAGGTGATATTGTTGAGCTCGGTCATGATGCCTGGTGTTCTTGGCATGTCAAAATCAAATTTGCAGCGTGTTAATCTGCCAAGAACTATAAGGCTAGCGATCTCAAGATATCTCAAGCCTCTTACCCTGGAACTTTAAAGGATGAACCTAGAAAGATTCAGCATTCAGTGCGCAATGCCCCACAAACACAACCAAGAAATGGAAATGGCGCCGTGCTTCCACCGGGGAATATCACGCATCCTGCCGCATCCTTTTAAAGCCACACTGACATCAAGCCGTCGCTTTGATCTGACGACGCTCTGGTGATGAAATGTTCGATGGTGAAGCCCAAGATGAGAATCACCTTCTCAAACGCAGAGGTAGGAAGTGATTGGTTCATTGCACCAAGACCAGTCTCATCAAGCTCATTGCCCAAAACTTAGTAAAATAACAAAAGATGTGATTTGTAAAATAACCTGTCTTGTACCTTGAGGTTTCCCCTTCACCATCAAAACAGCAACTTTGGAGGATACGAACACAGCGGGTTTTGAGGGATACTTCATGCCGAGGCTCGAAGTATGCAACGCCAAGAAAGATTCCCAACACTCTGGTCATGCGCCATCCAGATAGCTTACTGTATAGCAATGTTCCCAGCAGGATCACCTGCCAGTCTGCTTGGGTGACGTGCTGATAATAGTTGAAGTTTCTCCAACATATTTCTTCCTAAATGACATGCAGTCAGAGTGAAGGACTTGAATAGGCTTGATGGACATTCTGCAACGTAAGGCACGTTGAAGATTTAGCTTGTCCTTGCAACATGAAATAATGTGAGTTTCATCTCGTGACTTCTGCATCAGGACTGGACACATTCTTTCTCATGTTCTTTCTGGTAGACGCTGGTAGCCTGTATGTAGCTGTATCACTTGCAGCGCAAGGGCAAGTACCGGAATCCACAATATCTACAATTGTTTCAACATGTAATGTGAGACAACTGTGCTCTACGGCCTCGAGAGATCCAAGAAGAACAAATGCACAGGGCGTCATGATAAATGCAGTGCGACCGCCATTCAGCATCGCAGACATCAATAAAATTGAACCGTTCCTTGAACGTGAACATGAAATGCAAGGATATGCTTCCACGCTAAGTCTTTCAAGTCCGCTGTGCTTTTTGTTCTCTTCGCTAGCAATGAAACCTACACCATCCAAGGTTGCTCAGTCAGTGTACTGCCTCCAGGTGTCCCAAACAGCACATTGAACATTGGCCCAGCATAGATGCCAGTGATGGCAACACGATATTCGCCAGCCTACGCACGGTGGACACAGTGGACAATGTGAATCTGGTCCTTGTCAATGGAGACATGCGCTACATTTCTATCGATTTGCATACAACATCATGCAGCTACACTGTAAATCTGTCATAATCTATGCATATAACGACCTGTCTCTGTCTGCTCATCCAGAAGTACAAAAGTACAAAAAGACTGCGTCTCTCCCCTCCATTTTTCCACTCCCAGACCATTTGACTGTGCACCTTGGCCAGACCCAGCAATCCGAAGACGTTGTCGACGCAATTTCCCCAGGCCAACAGCGTGATGCCCTCAGCCATAGGTTTCAAACCTTGGCCATCCAAGTTCACAAGATGAGTACGACAGTACGGCTGCACTCAGACGTCTGGGCTTTCCAATCTTTCCATCTTCCAAAGCAACAAATTTGGATCATTGGGAGATCCAATATCTTTGGATATCTTTGGTATCTTGGTAGGTATACAATGGTATACAATGGTATACACTCCGTTTCCCGTGCCCAGGAGATCCCAGGAGCCCATGATGATTCCCAAGAGCTGCATAGCTCCAACCACCTCATTGGCGAAGAGTCCCACCCACCTGGGCAGTGGGAGTGTTGACTGTTGACTCATTGGCACAAACCAAAACATACCAAAACCATCTGTTCATAATCTGCCAGCATGTGTCAATGGTCAGAAATCCAAACACGGAGTCAAAATTAATCTGGAAACAAATCTGTCCACCGAAATCTGCAGCGGAGACCCACTTGCGCTCTCCGGGAAGCGTGCAAGTTCACACATGGTGGTCGTGTTGGCAGAGGGTTCCACCCGAAGAATTACCATCCAGCAAAAATCAAAAGTACATGGTCTGAGCTGCAGGTGGGCTACTTCAATGACTTGAAAGATGCAAAAAAAGGCACCCTTTGGTCCTCTATGATGATCAGCCCAGGCACAACAAAGAGGTGAGGAAAGTGGCCCAGCTGAAACACGTCTGTGCCTCAGCCAAAGGAAGGACTCACGTAGATGTAGGAGGCAGGGGACTCTGACTCTTTCATGCAGCCCAAGTCTTGTTGTGAATAATGATGATGATGATGATGATGATGATGATGATGGGGATGAGCATGACAACCATGACCCCGCGAACGGTGCCGGTCTCAACCTGTCATTCAGAACGTATCACCGCAGCACAGGCGCCACGTATTGCCTCGGAGGAAGGTTCCGCGATGTCGACCAGGTTGCAAGTGATAGGGCCAAGCCGGCGAGCCAAAAGGCCACCAAGGTAATGCGGGAAGGCCTCAACAAAAACCAACTTCACGAAAAGTTGAAGCTGAATGGATTTCAACATTTCAAGCATCTCACAGTCCCCATAGGTAGTGGCAACCTCCAAAAGAGGTGAATATGGTTTGCCAATGTTTGCCATATGGGAAAAGGGCCGAGCTCAAGCCGAGTCTCCACGCGGACTTGGACTCAGCAGCGTCCTGCGGCGAGTTGCAGCGAGGGGATGGTGGAGATTTGCCCAACGAAACTGCGAATGCTCTCCCTGCAGCCTGGAATGCGCTTGTGTAGACGTTTCCAAAGGGATTGCCGAAGGGCACGAAGATGCACATGCCTTGCATTGGCAAAAAAGTCTGGTGTCAACTTCGTTGGTTTCGTGTTCAATTCTTTTCACAAATTCGATCTCAGTCGCAAATTCGAACCCTCCAGATCTGTCATTGTCCATTCAGAAACATGTGGAAACATATGGAAAAGTGGAAAAAGTAGCTGCTCTACATCCAATTATCCAATCGCCCTGCAACAACTGAATGGAACCGAGCAGCCCAATGGCAACAACACATTCACCAAGCTATCCCAAGTGGTGGTGGCCATGGTCAGGACCTGAGTGTTGCCACAGCACCCAGAACTTGAGAGGGAAAGGGTGGACGACCGGTGAGGGGGATTAGATCAGGAAGTTCCATGTGCGCAAGCTTGGACTCCCGGAATGTTGTGGACATGTGCAAGTCAAATTAACCTGTACTTGAGAATGAGACTGAGGACGAGGAAGATGAAGAAGAAGAAAAAAAAGAAGAAGAAAAAGAAGAAGAAGAAGAAGAAGCAGGAGGAGGAGGAGGAGAAACAACATGATGATGATGATGATGATGATGGTGGCAGTGGTGGTGATGATGATGATGACGACGATGATGACGATGGTGACGATGGTGACGAAGGTGACGATGGTGATGTTGATGGTGATGGTGATGATGCTGATGATGATGATGGTGGTGATGATGATCTGATGATGATGATGATGATGATGATGCTGATGCTGATGCTGATGGGGAGGAGGAGAAGCAGGGTTAGAAGGATGAAGACAAGGATGAGGATGGAAGAATAAAGGAGATACCTGGAGGAGTGCTGCATCAATAGTGCAATAAGGACAAACATACAAACAAGAAAAAGTGTATGAGGTTGAGGAAAAAACTGTTTGTGCAAAGTGGTGGGAGAAGAGTTCCAAGGACAGTTGGAAGCAATTCACAGAGGTGATGGGAGGAAGGAACATGCTGTGGCAAAGTATTGGCTTTAATTTGACTATAAAAAGCCAGCACACAATTGACGGAGTCGAGGAGGAACCGATGGGCTATCCCCTCGAGTGAAGATCCAATACTGAAATCCCTCCGTACTGAAGCACATGGGACTCACGTAGCCTGGGCAACCTGTCGTGTTAATCTTCCACAACCGTTGCATGGAGATCAAAATTTGACGAAACCTAACCACAAGAGCTGGAAGTTTCCAAACAACAAGAAACTTTGAAAATTGGCAGACTTGCGAACAGAAAAATGTGGTGGCCTGCGCCTTGTCACGTGCAACCGGGTCACTAGGAATGGCCGCAAAGGGATCGCCAAGAAGAAACTCAACTTCTCGACAAAGCCTCCCTCTTCATCCCAGCCTCAAAGGGGAGCAGTTACGATGCAAAATAATTAGCTCCGCGCGTTTGAATATTTTTTTTGCGCTGATATGGATAGCACCTCCAAATCGAGTATTATTTTCTTCGAAGGCGAAGGGCGCAACATTTGCACCTCACTATAAGCTTGTGCCCGCGCCGCAGGGTTTGCATGTCCGACTAAACTTGGACAAGCTGAAAGCTACCAACAAACAAAGTGGATACTGGGAGTGGACCGGCAAGAACGAAAGGTGGTGCGCAGGAACACCCAAATAATCCATCATTTTGGCAGATCGAGCCGCCGACAATTCTGTTTCGGATTATTGAACGCGCTCATTAAGCAAACAACATGTTTTTGCCTAGGCAAAGTTGACATGGTTTAAAGGTATCCGTCTCGGCTTGGGTCACACCTTTAAACTGCTGATGTATGATGTGTGTGGCCAGCCAAGTGTCTTAGTTCTTTTTAACCTCACAGTTGAGATCAGTTGCGCGTTTTTCAATAACGTACACTGATACGGTGTCTTACAATGACATATGTTGATACATTGTCTTCCTTTGGAATTCCTGGCAGTGAGAGGTTCTCTGCTAAGTTTTCGCACGGTTCCACTTCAAGTAGCCAAGCTTGCTACTCTCTACATCTGCCTCGCTCAGTCCTCTTTTGCCGGTTTCTGACTTCAGAAGCTTCCGAAAATCTGTGAATTCATCTTCACTGTCAAGCACTTGATAGGACCAGGACAAGGCACTTAGGCCAAAATCTTTAAGTCGCCGCAGCTTGTTTCTGGATTGAAAGCGCTGGACAACAGAGGTCAGTAGTTCATCATGGCGTACACAAGCTTGGCACAGGCCCACACTACAGCGGGAACTACGACATTCAAGTCTTGTCCTGTCAGTTTGGGAAGTAGAGTATTCAAACGCGCTGCTGCAGATGGAGCGATGGCATCTTGGCTCCCGTTCTCTCCCAGGAAACCTACAACTTCTGGGACTGATTCCTGAAGAAGGATAAGGCTATCCAAGCTGTTGAACAGTGCTTGCGGAACCATTTCTTTGATCTTGCCTGGTATCTCTGCCATAATGGCCAGCACGACAATCTCCAATGCCTGGGGGGCTTCATTCTCAAGCTGCAAGCATGCCCACAGACAGTTGGACAAGTGCTGTGGGATCATATCCTTTGCTTTGAACGGGATCTAGGCAGCAATGGCCTGCACCGCTTCCTGCACATCAGGTGCACAATCTTTGAGCTTTGCACAGGCCCACAAGCAGTTGGACAATTATTGTGGTTTCATGCCACGCACCTTTGCGGGAATAGACTTCACCAAAGCAACTATGAACTAACTCATGTGGAGTGCCGAACTGATCAGACAACTGTGCGATGCTCCACAGAACATTCGCAGAAGACTGCGCATTCAACTGGTCTTGCACCACAAGATTTTGGACGCGGGCATGCAGCCTAGAAAGCACGGGGGCATCCCAGTTGCTTGGTTGCAGGCATCCCTTCCTTTTTCGCCAACTGAGTATATGCAGCTGATGCATGGAAGAAATTGAAGATCATACAATCAATTGCCACATCCAAAAGGTCAATCAGCTCCATTGCTGATTCTGTTTGCTTCATTTCTGATGTTAATCTCTTTGCCTTGGCTTTGTCCCCCGGATTCTTTGGTGGCTGTTGACTGAACCTTTTGCCCACCTGGCCCGCGATGAGCCTATGTCCACCCGCACTCACGCAGTGCACAAAGCCCAACAGGTGCAGTTCACAACTCACCACCAGCCAATAGCACCAGGTAAAGCAAAGGAGAACAACCACTAGTGAATTGAGTTGGCTGCCTGGACATGATGCCTGAAGTGGTCATGGCTAGGAGTGGCCTACCGCAGGAGTTTGGAAACGGACTGGTCACACATTTGGTCTGACAAAGTCGCTCAACATTGTTGAACCAATTGGGCGAGCAGGTCTTAGTCATTGTAGTCTCCTTGCTGTTCCATGATGAATCAAATCTGCACGACTAAGGGCAAAAACATTGCAGTACTGAGCCAAACTATGGTCCCAAGTTCAAATCCAATGACCACTTCCCGCAAACCTGAAGCCGCCCTCAATCAATTTGGAAGGTGCAAGACAAGAGACTCTCTGGACTACAAGCTGACAAGTGCAGAACATCTTCTGACCCAATTGCAAACCAGCAGTGAGGAGTACTTCATGGCTATGACCGAACCCCCGCGCAGCAACTAAGTTCACATTAGATCTCGGCATCAATCTTGGTCCCATGCACCTGCGTGTCGCTTCATGCGGTCTTTCCAGCTATCACCGGTGAAGCTTGCCCGTTCCACCACGTGTTGTCCCGCTAGAGCTTGGAACGAAGCCTAGGTGTTGCTCGCTGATGCTGAACGCACATTGCACAAGGGGGTTCGAACTCGCCCACTGAATGGTTTCAGGAATCATTTTGAAATGTGTTTCTAACATAATTTTCTACTGTAACATTCAATTATCATCAATCAATATCAATCATGCAATCATCCAATCATGATCCAATCTCAGCTATGCTGCCTACCCGCAACCATCTCAGCCAGGCTGCTGCCACCCTGCTGCCTCGCCCCACGAAACTGGCTGGTGCCGACCCTGTCTCTGCGGCGGTGAAGGACGAATTCCGCGAGCGCGGCCCGGCTACCACTGAGCTGGGAGCATCGATCACAGGCTCGCGCTGCTGCTTTTGGCTCTCGCGGAGACTCAAGTAAACGTAGAAAATGTAGAGTAGATTCATGAAGAGAGCCATATACCTGCAACTTGAAACAACTTGAGTTGCTTTGACTCTGGCACATGGTAAAAAAATGTTGTGCAGATGCAACTAAGATAGTGGATGCATTTCACGAGGCGCCAAGTGTGCAGCAAGGATGCGTGGAAACAAATCCAAACCAACCGAAGAGTATCATGAGGCCCACTGCCAGGAAGCGAAAACTAATATCGCGACTCAGAACGGAAGAATCCACTTGGATGCCTCAACAAATCCACAGGGAAAGGAAAACGCAGTCCAAGCAAGAAACCCATTCCGGAACCACAAAGGCGTGAAGATCTCGAATCTCAACAGTATCCCTATGTTTCTTACTTTAGATTCTAACACACATCTTTTTAAAAACAACAATGCTACTTTAAATCACCAACTGTGATCAACCAACCATAGATAACATGGGATAACCAAATACAGAAGATGCTCAGCCTTCTGGCCCCGCAAAGAGAAGGACCAAAGAGGCCACAAAGGTGTTGATGAAGACGCCCGTTCCAAAGACTCCTCCAAGCCAAAGTCGAACCTCCAGAGGTCATTTTGGAGATATGGGATCATGGGAAGATAACTGAAGGATAGGATAGTAATGTTCTGATACAATCTGAGCTTTCATGATCATGAAAAGTGAAACCTGTATTTTCAGGTTTCAGCAAGGGTGTGTTATCCCAACACAATGAAACCTACAACCGTTAAGCTAGCAGCTCTAGCACTGTTTTACCTGAGCCGCAACGCTAGCAATCCATGCTATGATACAGGGTGCTTTCTGGGCGTGTGCAAATACACCCCCCCTCAGGTGAGCCGCAACGGCAAGACTGGCCAATTTACCATGGCGTGAGCTTTATACTCAGCCTTACCGGCAGCCCACATTTGAACACTGAGGGAAACACCAAAATGCGGCTTTGTACAAAAACAATCATCTGCACGGTGCTGGCCTAGCTTTCTTCCCATTCTGTGCGGCCGTACCGGATGACTTTTTGGTACCATCGGCCCTGCCACTTCACTGGCAGATTGTGGCTGCTCAAGCCAAGCACGTGCTGATGTGGAAGATGAAGGTGCTTCTACAGTCCGAGTGGCTCGGACTCTTACCACCACCCTTACCCTCCCAGTCTTCTTGGGGGGCCAGATCTTGACTTGAATTTGTAGCACACTTTGTCACCTTTGCCGCTCTGGCTGCGGCCACGTGAACGTCCTCGATCACCTTCGCCGCAATCCTTGCCCCCCTGAGCAGGAGCAGCGGGCTGGGGCTTTGCGGTCTGTTCTTGTCCACGTTGATCGGAGTCTTTCCCTATCCAATAGATCACGAATGTTTCGCAGCAAATATGCATAAGACTTTTGCTCTGATTTTTCGGCAGCTCTGTCGAATGCTTCAATGTTGTATTTCATGAGTTGACATTTCCTGATTTGTCTGAGAAAGATATCTCTGAGAACCAAATCATCGGGTGGAGTTTCCATACCGGCAATGGCGGCTCCAAAGGGCTCAGAAACCTTCTAAGATCTTCCACAGACTCAGCGGTCCTGACGACTTCCAACAAGTCCTCAACACGATAGAGACTGCCAGCTTTTTCAGACGTCCTGAAGTAATCTTCAAGCATCAAAAGGACTCTCCTACCCCTGACTTGGATTCCATTCTTTGACTCTTCATCTTTGAAATTGTGGATTTTGGTTGCTAGATCGCCTTTGGCTGAGCGAGTTAAGGCTGCCGACAACTTTGTGTCAAGAGTGATGAATTTGGCCGGGGCTTGCGTGGGGTCTTGTTGTCAAGGGCTTCATTGACCAAATCCAAGCCTCATCGGGTTTGTCCGAACATGACCTGACCTCATCCCTGACCTGGTTGCGCCAATGGCGAAAGGCCTCAGGGGCAGGCATGTCGTTCAGCTTGATGGTCTCCGGCTCTTTCGTTCGAAGCTTCTCACCGTCTGCATCTTTTGATGTCAGCCTAGTAGTGAGATCCAAAAGCTGTTGTCCGGAAAGACCAGCACCTATGTCTGCAGTCGATTCACATTTTCATGCGGTTGTCTCTGCACTGGCACTGGTGGAAGTTGTGGGGGAGCGGTTGGTCCTGCTGGGGTAGTTGTGAACCGACTGTGCAACTTCTCCCTTGCATCTGCAGCTAGATTGCTCATTGCTGTGTTTGGCATGGGCGTTGCCCCAGCCTCCGCACTTGCTGGACCTTTAGGCGTTGCAAGGGATGTCACCTGCACCTTGATCAAGTTCCTCGATCCTATTTGTAGGAGCGTTCTGCTTGTTCAACTTCTCATTACTTCTCTACAAGTTCGTCTACCCGTTCCTGGAGTTGAAACTTGAGTTCTGCAGCCTGCTCTTCTTGCTTGTTGCATTCCTCTCTCATCTCCTTGATCACTGCTTGTTCCTCCTTCTTGAATTCCTCCATTCCTTGCCTTGCGTAGTCGACTGTTTCATCTACGATTTTATTGCAGTCAGCCTCTAGGTTTGTCTTGACTTCAGAGCACCTAATTTCGTATTGACTGGAAACATGAGAAACCTTTTGGTTTGCCCTTCGCTCTGCCTCCAGCGCTCCGGCGTTTGCAGCATTCTTCACTTTGGCGTTTGCCTCAATGAGTTCTTTGCCTCATGTTCAAAATTTCCTGTTCAGCTATTGCGCGTGACATCATGAAACCGGTTAGTTCCGATGCCATCTGTTCATGTCGGGTGTCAGCTTCTGCGCGTTGTTGGGCAATTCCATTGAAGCACATTTGCTCAACATTCAGACTACGGGTTTCGTAATCCTGACACAGTTGCTGAACCATTTGCTCCATGATCTGGCTGTGCCTTTGTTCGGCTTCCTGTCCAAACAAGTCGATGTTTCCCTCATTGATGTAGGTGAGATTGTTCTGCACATCTGAAAATACGCCTGAACCGGCTGGTTAAAGATACCATCATCTACAGTCATAGGCGTGGGGTTTTATCCCAGCCCGGTTTGCCGCTGGGGTACCAGTTGTGGGAACCATTGAACTTGTTGCAGGCACATTTGCACCTGTGCCCGGAACGTCACCAGTGGGTCTCTCCATGGCTTTAGGTTTCAGCAAGGGTATGTTATCCCAACACAATGAAACCTACAACCATTAAGCTAGCAGCTGTAGCACTGTTTTACCTGAGCCGCAACGCTAGCAATCCATGCTTTGATACAGGGTGTTTTCTGGGCGTGTGCAAACACAACACCATCAATATCATGTGTATGTTTATGATTGTATATGCATATTCTGCAACTATAATGACTGCAACTATAATGAAGTAGATTATATCGTTACATTGATTTCCGATCCAAAAAAGAACACCACCAACAAAAGCCTCAGTACCAAGCTCGGCACGTCATTATCGCTAGAGCCATCGGATCCTCCCTCCGTGTGTGCCAAAGCCTCAACATGAAGAAAACACATCACGTGCAATGCAGTGGTGATCGTGATGATGACCCAACACTGTTTACACCTATGCCATAACAACACACACACATATATATACTGTATATATAATTATATAGATATTATAGACAGATATAGTATAATCATATATATATATATAATATAATATATATATAGTATAATCATGTATAATCATGGAGAGACAATACATGGCATCCCAGGCACCGACACGAAGCCCGTCATGAAGTCGTTGGCCGAGCCGCCCAGTGCCAGCAAGGTGGCCCCAAGCAGGGCATCGGACATCCTGTCAGCAACCAGAAGTCTACAGTGCTGGTTAAATTCTGGTTAAATTCTGGTTAACCCACCAACAGTTTCATTACTGAAGTTGGAGAAAACATATAGAAAACTAGCGTAAATTGCTGATGCTCAACTTCAATATGGCATGGACTCTGGACCTGGGGAGTTTTGCGGCCCAGGATCTTCAAAGTGCGCCCGATCTGGATCAGTACAGGCACTAGATAGCCATCTGCGACCACCTTTGTTCTGCACGTCCAGCGAAAGCCGCAATGGCAGTACTTCCTAATGGAATGAACATTTGAACACTCCGAATATCGATTGCACCATGAGAACTCTTTAGATTTCAAATGCCCGTATATAAATTGGAGAAGATGCCAAACATTGACTGACCAGCTGCACATGCATCCTCACCAACCCAACTTTGCACAAGCCTGGCACAAGCTATGCCAAGTTACGCCCATCAGAATGAAGTAGTAAAATAAAAGCAAGAGACACACAAATGTCATGAAAGGGGCATTTCCTCAGTGCAATAGAAAAGTGTGATTGCACACCAGGTGGTCAGCCAAAGCAATAACACAAGGTAACAAGCACCACGTGTTTCCGCATGCCTGCTGCTTTCGCACTGCACCATGGCTGGCTTTACCACCGCCTCTATTTAGTCTACTTCTCAAAAGCAAAATGGATGCATTGTCTTCATTTTGTCTTCCCCATGGCAATACATTCAAAGGCTCCATTCAACTTGCAGGAGTACAGTGCCTCATAGTCTATCAGCGTGTCATCGCCGCCATCGCATTTGGTCAGCAGGCATTGCGCTGCCGGATAGCCACTCAACCATGTCATTGCAGACCTGGCTTGGTGAAGCACTGGATGCTGGAGAGTTGTGCAACGCTGCGTCATCTAGGCTACATAACTGCTATTGAAATTCATATTGGAACACTATAGATTATTATAATTTATTATATATACATTACTAATCATTACTATACTTGGGATTATCCATACATTTCATTTAGGGGCAGCATTGAAAATCCACCTCACGTTTTTCAGGTTCCCTACATCTCAACGATTGCCATCTTTGACCCGGCCTGGCATCCTCAGTGGTTGCTGCCAACACCGCCATGGTGCAATACGCAGCCTGTCCCGACAGCGGTGCGGATGGGACCCTGGCAGCCCTGGCAGTTTTCCATCCCTGGAAACTAAGGAGGACACTAGTTTTCTTTCATTTTCTACCGATCATTTTCCCAAAATCGTATGAAAACCTATGGATCTAGCCATCTTCTTCTGCATTGTAGATGGAGTAACTTGACATCTTAACACCATCCGCAGTGACCAACTTGCTTTGGAGGCTTGTTTCGGGTCACCTCCTGGTCTTTGCCCTTCAAATCCTCAGCTCACAGCCAGTCCTGAACCCTCCAGCATTGTCACATAAGGCCATTTGGGGATAGCTACCCGGTACCCCTTATTAGCCATCATTGAAGCAACGTCGCGACGTGAGGTCGTTGTAACTCATCCAGCTCCATCTTATCACAGCCACTTGAAACAGCCAAGCGACAAACCATTGATCGGCCTGAAAGGCAGTGCAAGCTGTGTCACGCTCGAAAGCCGCAATCGTTAAACCACTGGTTGTGGCAGATTGTTCGCCAACAATTCATCAACAGTTCACTAACAGTTCAACAACATCTGCCGAACTTTCTTCCACCACTTGAACCTGGGGAGAAGAACTAAAAGTCAATGAGCTGACATTTAGAATGGGCCATCCCAAGTGCACACAGTACGGCAATCTCTTGATCTAGACTTACTGTAAGTCATCTTAATTCAATCAATGATCAATGGATTTGAAAGCGATATTTCAGATTTTGCATTGTGATTTAGTGAAGCCAAAACTGAATCTATTCATGTCTATTAAAGCCTATTCCACTTTCTCAGGAAATTTGGCTCCACCATGCGTCAAAGATAGATCTGGAGGAACCAGAAGAAAGCCCATAAGAGTTTGCAACGTTGCAACGATCAAGCAAAAACATGCGAAAGATGGTATACTGCCATTCTTTTGTTTTGGAAGAGTAAAACCACTTTCATCATATTTCGTGATTTCATCTTCTTCTGCTGCTGTAGCCCCGAGTGATCCGTCGGCCTTGCAGGCTTCATCTTTGGAAGCAATGCAGGCCACATCCTTTTCTGCGACCTGCCACGGTGAAATCATCCAACGGAAACCAGAGACGAGTCTGCGGAGCGATTTCCACATATTTCCACTAGATCCCAGGGATTCACAGAAGTTGGAGACGCTTTCGTGGCGTGGTTCACGTGTCTTGAGCCTCCAGAACATAGCAAACAGCATCTGTGGATGAACCACAGGATTCTGCGTTGGGAAAAAGGTCCACAGTCAGAGATGAACCTGTCCGGATGCAAAACCATGCAAAACCCACCAAATGCACATCATCGTATCGTATCTCATATCAAGTCTCATATCATATCTCATATCAGATCATATCATGAAATTATCAAATTCATCACATATCATATCATTCGGATACATGTTGAAATCACGAGCAAGAATCCAGCGTTGAAACACAATAAGAGATAAGAAGAGTTGGAACTGCAAATGCCCCGTGCAGGCAGTCTGGAGGAATCTGGAAGATGCTGGTGCGAAGTTTGGCATGATTGAGGGAGTGTACCCAACATCGAATCTTCAGTGTTGAGCCATGAATCGCGACATTTCCGAGAGCATCCCAACGCACTCTTGTCGCAACAACCATTCATCCCATTGTCCCAGAATTAGATGAGAAGATTGAAACCAGAAACCTCTTTTTCTAGGAAGCAAACACAAGTACTCAAGTACTAGTAAAAACATGTAAAAACCAAACAACTTTCCGGACTTTCGGCTTCGACATGCTTCGACTTTCCCCGTTTTTTCTTTTCCCAACATCCATTGACGAGCCTTGCACCAGCACATGGTGCTGCTGGTGCTGCTCAGGGCCATGGGCATACCAGAGGTGGTGCGTCTGCACCGCGGGGTTTAGCCAAATGGTTCCCAAACCTGGCGCCTCCTGCCATGGTCATCCCATGGTCATCCCATTGGGAAATCCATTGGGAAATCCATGGGAAATTAAAATCCAAAGGACCCATCCATGGGAGTTTGAGGATGGAATTTCTAGATTTTGGCATTTCTTAATGCTCAGATTGGTGGGCGCCTCCACCCCCTTCTTAATCCTGGAAGCGGGAAGAGCCCTGTTTTTTTGTTGGGGAAATCAGCCGTCCTCTACAATGGATTGAATTGAACCAACCAGATGACTGTTGCAAGATGTTGGGTTTGCCGGGGGGGTTTGCCGTGAGTCGGAATGAGTTTGCGCAAGAAGGGTAACATATGTTAAGATCATGTATGTCCATCCGCAGCCGTTTAGTAGGAGGAAATTTCATAGTATTTTCAGTGTTTTTCATTGGTTTCACATTCGCATTTGCAAGATGTTTGCATGATAAGGGATGATTGTTTGAACCAGGTTCATGTTTTGCGAACAAGATTTTTTCTCGGGATCCCGCGGAAAAATTAGCAGGATTTTTGAACTTGTGATTTGTTGGAAAGAGAAATAAAGTTGTGTGTTTTATTGGAACAGCATAATTAGATTTCCTTCGGAGCCATGTTGAGTTTCGATGAATTGTTCGAATGTTTGGTGCTATTGTTCGAATTCCCCCCCCCATGTTTTTGTTTCGAGCTAATACCTACAGAGGTACATGCATGAGTATTGAGCACATTTATATGCGCCCTTCAAGGCTCAAGAGGTATATAGAGTAAGCCTGTGGACAAGCACTGACCGGCAACAGGCTGAGAGTAAAGTAAAATAGTGCTGTCATTGGGGAAGACGCCTTAGCTGATCTTGAAGTAGACGCTAGGGCCCCTCTTCACCCCACCCCCCCAACCCCCCCCACCCCCCCACACCCCACGGACAGCTATTCCAATGTTGGATAATGAGTTCTATGGAACGCAAGCTGCCTGGACGTTATTACTCCCCCCCACCCCCCAACCCCCCCCACCCAATGGTCACGAGCTCAGAAACCTTGTTTGCTTCGGCAAACCCCTACGGTTGACCCAAGATGTTGCAAGTGTGCCACTGGTATGACTCCGGTATGACCATGCCCCAATGTGGGGAGATAATCAATCTCTTGACCATGGCACATAATGGCACATCATGGCACATAGGGATTCATCGTTTGGGTTGTTTAGGATGACACGTATCCCGTAGGCAGATGAGTATTGCATACATCTACCATATGATTTCAACAACAGGTCCTGGGCCTTTTGTGCTGCTAACACTTAAACGCTGAACTTCAATGTGTGTGTGGTTTTGACTTAAGTTGAACATGAAAGCCTGACTGAGAAACTTCATCAGAACCGTTCCACCAACTGTCGCAGCTTGCCCGTCCTTCACAGAGACGCTTTCTGGGGCGTCAGCAATGCTGAAATACAACGCGCTGAACATGGTTTGTAGCGAAGTGACATCATGCAAGCACCTGAAATCAGGTGAAAACAAGCAAAATAAGAATACTATACATACAGATAGACACTACAGTCATTACAGAGCACAGCAATATCTACTGCAAGCATTGGCTTATGAGAGCTGCTGATGCGCAGGTAAATAGGTTTCCCTTGTAGTCAACTTCATTTTTCACCAATGGGTCCGAGCTGCCAACAAAGGTGGCCCAACTGGGGGAGCTAGCTGCCATCTGGGAGCCCACACATTCTGAGAATTTATGTTGATATGACCGTGAAAGAATTGATATTGATTAAGTGACCTTTTTGAGAAGCTCGTTACCCTTGGCCAAAACATGCAACAACATACCAGGCACCTGTAAAACGCCGCGGACTCATTTGTTGCGAGTCCATGCCAAGTGAATGAGGACAGCGCCTTCCACAAACTCAGGGATAGAACATTTCTGCGATCCCTTGGGTTTAAGAAGTGGCTGAGATAGAAATCCGCAAACGTTTCAAGCTGTTTCACTTGCCTGTACTCACTTCTCTAAACTGTGCGATTCTTGGAATCCAAAGTTGAATCATTGGGGGAGAATACCGGAGTCATTTCCTCCAGACCCAGCGGACCTCTGGATCCAATTTCTTCCCATCTTGCAAGCACTGGGCTTCTTCTGTCTCCTGAGCCTGGCTTCCGGGGACTCATTTGACAGCCATGCGAGTTTGTCTGAACATTGAGTAGCCATTGATACCCAAAAATCTATTGGTCAATCAACATGTTCCATCATTTTCTACCAGTTTCCGTCATTTTTCTACGATTTTTAATTTTGAGCGTTTCAAGATATCCCGTCATGTGGGCCTGGCACACAGCCAGGAGCAGCAAACCTCGCCACCAGCTCCGCTTAGCCATGGATGCTTCAGGTGAGCGAAACTTCTGTGAATTCATACCGGGTGTAGCCCAAACTTGGTCTAAGCCAAGTGGGTGTTGAAACTCCCAGAATCGGAATTTTGAGACATACCCATAGTACCTGTAATCTGTCAGAGCTTTGCTGGCGGTGAGAAATGATGAAAAACGTCGAACTGTATAACTTCTTAGTTGATTCCGTTGTGCTCCAAGGAAGGGCTTGTTTTTTCTGTGAAAAAACATGTTTGACCTCAAGGCAACACGACGTGCAGTACACAGTTCATGTCTGCAAACTGAACTTGAGCATCCAAGCAACCTCTTCTGTGAAAAGCAAAGATGAAACACTCTTGTCGCTCCTGCTTTGAACACCTAGAAAACCTGACTCTGATACAGGCTGCTGTAAAGCCTGGCCCATTGAATATACCACCACTTTTCTTCCAAGCAATCTCTGCCAGCTGCTTCTGCAACTGCAAACTTTGGCAGTCGGTCAATCATTTGCGGATGATGTATTCAAGCAGAAATCCCAAGATCAAGGCGGAAGGGTAGCATGCCTCGGTTCAAAGCCCAAACTCTACTACGAAGCCATACCACACTTTTTATGCTTTTTTCATGCACAAAGTTGGAAACAGCGCTGCAAAGAGGACCCCAAGGAATTCAAACGGGCCGAGGATGGCCAGTGGTCCTCACAGCTGTTGCAAGCACCAGCCCTGAGACCCATCCATGCATTGGGTTCGGGTTCAGTTCAATTCCAGACTCGGAAATCTGTCAATGTCAAGCTGCCAAAAGGAATTTTCCAAGCACCTTTGGCATTTTCCATTGGTTTTGTTTCGTCCAAAGCCAAGTGGTGGCGAGAATCACCTGCAGATTCCATGATGCGAACATGTTTGGAGGCTTCACTTGACACTGTGTATCTGATGTCCCTGTTCCTTTTTGAACATCTCTCTCTCTCTCTCTCTCTTGCAAAAACGCTTTTTCCCCACACCCCAAGTGTGCAAAAAGCAAATATAATATATATATATATTATATTCAAACAACTTTGCAGGAACCCTGGCTCCCAACATTCAGAACCTGGATCACGATGAGTAGAGTCATAGCACAGGGTGTGAAAGCTACCGGAACAGCTGCTGCAGTTTTCATGCACAGCAGGAGCATGATGCATCCGCAAACGCAGAACATGGTAAAGGTGTCTGCTGCATACACCCCGGTGATGGCCACAGGGGACTGGCCATTTTTTACCAATCCCATGGTGGCAAAGACGTTGTCAACCGTATTCCCGAAGGCCAGCAGAGTCAGACCCATGGTGGTGGGCGACATTCCAATCACTGCACCAAGTACGGTAAATGCTCCCACAATCTCGCCAGCAAGCAAGCCAACCCATAGCAAGGCTGTCACAAAGGTGATCCATTGAAAGAAAACGAATCCTCAGTTGTGCCGTACAAGCAATTTCGTTTTTCGTGGTGAAACCTTTTTTTGACATCCCACAAAACCCAGTCAACAGGAAGACGCCGACCACCGAAAGCAAGTTGGTCATTTCAGGTCCAATCTCAAGCTATGAGACTTACTCTCCGAAACCGTTGGGTTTCTTCAACATGGATACCTTAAAATGGCTGCGTACTCTAATGGGTTAAAATGATGATAAACCGGTTGATTTTTCGATACTCTAGATTTAGACAAGCAAATACTCATCCCGGTTTTGGAAACTTCCCAATTCCTATATGGCGGTGTTCCCATTCAAGGTCGGAATTTCCCAATCCATTCAGACCTTGCATGGTGTTGCCAATCAGAATTCTAGATGTGGAGCACACCTAGGGGCACCTCAACGAGAAACGGTCAAAATGATGGAAGGAACCATTCAAAAATAAGGGATTTAAGTGGATTTAGCTGTCGAAAATAGGGATTTCATTGGATTTGATTTAAGCAGTAAAAATAGGGATTTGATTGGGATGATAGATTGTGTTTTTTTTGGAAACTACCCTTTTATAGACCTTTTCTTGTCCCATTTACCCATCAGACCAACCCCATTTCCAGGCGTCCGATGTAATGTCCGGGACAGCCGCGGGCCAAGAGGCCAAGTCTGATTGACCTAGAGCACTTAAGGCATCCTCATACATATCGACAAGTTAATCAGGATATTATGTGTATATATATATAGAATATTATATAATGTATTATACAATATAATATGATATAACTATAGGGAACACATATATTTGTAATGCCATTCATTGTTCAAGGGAAATGTTGGAGGGTTTATCCAAATTTCTGATGTTGAAAGAATAATCCAGTGAATAACGATAAGTAATTTAACAACCTGAACAACATCAACACCTTGACCTTTGGGCGTTCGTCCAGTATCCTGTGTGTGGCAGGTGGACATACTGTAATTTATGTTTGATGACCCTCAATGGCTTCAGCACAGGGATTTTCAGGTTCAAAATAGCTTCTCAGCCAAGCAAAAAATATCCAGATGAAATCCATTCTGCATAGAAAAACTGTGGGGGACATGGCATGAAGTGCGATCTGGCATGCCTATTTGGTCCAGGCACAACAGCAAACCCACCACAGCCAGTCCACTGATCGTTAGCATTGAGCTCCAATCAGGCGCTTTGTAGCTGTTGCCCAGGGGATTGCCAAATGGTAAGAATAGGCACACGCAGAAAGGCATCACCACATTGACCACGGGATCCCATTTCACCGTGGCCATCGTTAGGCAGAAGAAGGGACGGAACGGCAGAGCGACAAAGAAGTTCACCTCAGCAGCCGAGAAGCGACCGCTCAGTACGGCTCAGATTTCCTCGAACATCGCGCAATGTGATAGTCTAGATTTGTCTAAATTAGAATCACTAGATGTACTACTGAATGGTCCAAAATATGTAAAATATAATGATGCATAAACGCACCCTCATATCAATAAATTCATTATACAATATTGTACATACGTTTCCAACACCAGCATGCCTTTTGTAAGCCAGCCTCCTACAGAGCTCCCCGCAAAACAAAGGACCCTCCCACGTTCCAAGGCCACCTTCTCCATGACTCCGGCAGATGCACCGTTCCATGCCAAATGCCGCTTCAAACGTTGCGAGCACATCTCCTCAGCATCTTCCTCAGGCGAACAGCGACAAAAATTCCGCCATCCCAATCGATCCCAAATTCATCAAAGTGCAAACGGGTCATGAAGAACAACGTCACACTCACTACGAGTATGTCACATTGTTGAGCAAATGAATCCTTGCACGGTATCAAAGTATATCAAAGTCAATTTTCGAACGGAGATGGATCACGGGTACATCTTCCAATTCCAGTTGCCAAGCGTCGCCTGAGACATGTGTCAAGACCAATGAGCCCGAATGGGCTTGGAAGGACAATGACTTCCGGCGACCGAAACTGGAACTGATGAAAGAGAGGTCCTGACAAAGATGGCAACTGGAACAAAGTGGGATTCACCCCACCTCTGCAGGTTTCCGCAATTTGACCAAGTCTGCAGCTTTCAAGCAGCCTTGGCATTCCACAACTACTGGGATCAGAAAAACACACAAAAAACGTTATTTCATATATTTAAATATTTTCATTTATTTTCAACCATGTTCAAACGATTATATCTGGCTGCAGGGATTTGCTGTGATGCTTGTTACTTCTAGCTCGCCGGCCCTGGCTCCTCGGCCACCGATGGACGTGCATCAGGAGGGTTCGCTTGCGTCTCTGTCTTGGAAGTCTCACGTAGAGTGATCAAAACCTGAGTTTGCGCTCGAAATGTTTTCAGCATTATGTGGTCGGAAAACCCTTAGCAACTAGTTTTTTGGCTCCATATTTCATAGGGATCATGGATATCCATAGCTCCTTACCCCCTAAGCACCGGACAGTTCATGATGTTCATGTCGTCTTGCAAATACCAACAGTTCTATGATTGCCAGGCGTCATAGACTACATAGCAGGCTGTCATAACAATGCCCAGGAAAGCATTGAAATAGCCCAAGCAAGCGAAGGTGATCACCAGCACGTTGGCCAAACTTCGAAATCCTTGTCTGACGCGTCGGCCTTGCCTCAAAACCCGCCTGCGCCAAAGGTGCGGAGGCGTGATAGTGTAGGAGTGGATGCAACCGGACAGATCTGTCAGACTGGCGCAGCTTCAGTTTGGGGGGCCACTTTCGACAGACCAGGCCGCCAAAAAGTGCATTTTGCAGATCGGCCCAAAATCGTCCAACTGGACCGTTTCGATCAAAACATGGCCGCAACATTGGAACTTCGGCCAGCAAGGCCCCAACTTCGGCCCAACTTGGACCAATTGGCCCCAACTTCGGCCCAGCTTGGCTCCAAGATGGCGCAGTTTGGGGGCCCATTTGGGAGCAACTTCGGCCCAAGTTGAGGTCCATATGGATTCAATGTGGGGGCATAGCCGGCCCAATCCGAAATCCACAAAACATCCGTTTTCACTAGTGGATACTAGTGGTATTTACCATGTTTTTTGCTATCGATGACGCTTCGTATGAATCAATGTTCCCCATGTTGTGTGTCCGTTGGGCCCAACTTGGTGCGAAGCTGTCGCCAAAAGGTGCCAAGCTGCGGCAGGTTAGAACTGACTTGGATAAGTTGGGCCCAGTCGCTGCGTTCGCAGCCTTGACAGTTTTTACCGCTTTTTCCAACGTTTTTTGGCTTTGATGGGGGGATATGGGGGCGCGAGGCCATGTTGCCCACATTGGGCTTGTCTTGGGTCCAACTTCGGCGCCAGATCCCACAAAGGACCAAGTTGCGCATGCTAAGCCCAACTTGCACCCAAACGTGCGCCATGTTGGACCCCAGTTGGGCTCAAGTTGGGTGCGAGTTTGGCGCAAGTTAGGCCCAAGCCGGGCGCAAGTGAGCTCCTGTTCGCCCCGACTTAAGGCCAAGGACGGCCAAGTTTGACCCCACTCGCCTTTTGGTTGGGCGAAGCAGGCCTGCTTCTTTCCTCTCTGTCCTATTCTCTGGGTGCGGGCGGTTCTCGTCGCGAAGCGACTTGAATAGGGCCTTGACATGTCCTGAAGCTGTGCAGTTGATTCAGCTGACGGAGGTTATAGCTTCATCCAAACTAATGTTTGTGTGTCTCGGAATAGATCATTTCCATTCATTGCCAACATATAAAACCGAATGGTTTGGAACATCTCATTTCCCCCAGTAAAAACAGCCATAAATTGAGGATAAATAACAAATTTTTGGACAATGTGAAATGCCATATGTTCCATGACATATCCCATGAAATATCCCCAGAAATTGTTGTTATACATCTATGATTTTGTTTCAAATCAAGTTGAATCTTCCATCAACATGGCGAAAATGGCAAACATGGCAAAATGTTGGGCCTACTATCACGTGCTTGGAAACTCAATTCGTAACTCTACATGAAGGTACAAGTACCTCATTTTCAGACACACCTATATCCCAATGGATCTTTCTCGGAAATCCCTTGGTTTCATTGGATCCCAAAAACCATCAAAAACCCCATTGGTTCATTGGATCCCAGCCCCATCCACAGCTCCTCAGGCCTCCGTTCCAAGCTTCCAAGGTCCCGGCTCAGCGCCTTCGCGTCCATCTGGGCGCCGCCGTCGCTACAGAGCGGCACCAGCGACACCACCACGGTGGTGGCGAAGAGTCCAGCACCGACCAAGCCACCCAGCCACAGACTCACCTCGGCTGGTGCCGGCGCCATGGGATTAGTCAATTGACTTGTTTTTGACAGGATATCACAGGATTATATCCCAATTAACTAGTTATAACATGTTATAACTAAGTTGTAACTTATGTTTGAACAATCCGGCCCTATGGTTCATCGTTAATTATATCCCATTACATTGTTTAGTTGTCACTGGAATATCAAATACAAAACAATTGAATACCCCATTACTAGCTAAGCAACTAATCCCATGGCCCATCTGAGTAGTGGGATAAAACACGGCCGAATGCTTGAAACCAACAGATACCAACCGGGGAATATGTTGGGAAATACTGTACAATGGGATCCATAACAACGGATTGGTGGTTCAAGCATGTCATGGGGTACCAATGGACCTACCCACATGGTGAGGATCCCAAAGTCCCTTAGATTCCCGTAGATTGGTGTCCTGGCTGTGTGGCTATAAATTTGGTGGCCATCAATCTCTTTGAAACACATGGCAAAGGGACTATCTGATCCCCCGGAAAACACATGGGCCGAGATACATCGGGCTGTTCATTCTCCAACGACAACACCTGTGCCATTTTGTCAGTTCAGCCCAGGCGTTTCACGCCTCTGTCCCCCAAACCACAGCAGTGAACTCCAACAAGCTGTCTTTTGGGGCTTACAGGACTGTTGCAGAATTCGTCATGGTTCTTCGTGCAACTCAACTCACCTCTCCAACACAATCATCTGCAGCTAAAATGCTGACACCAGGCCAGTCATGAAGTCAGTGATGGATCCTCCAAGTGCTAATAGAGTCGATCCCAGCATTGCATCCGACATTTCCAAATGCCTCGTGTTTTCGCAGAAGGACTGCCGCAACTGTTGGACTTCCTGTCTTACTGTGCTAAATACAAGATATACAAGTGCTGACTACATCAAGAGTGCCTGCCGTTGTTGTTGCATTCTAGGTCGGTTTTGAAGCAACACGGCAAGGTTGCATGACAACAGGCTGCAGCTTGGACGGTCGCGCCTGCCAATCTGGCAAAGAGCAGGAATCAAATATCCATCAGCCACGACCTTTGCATCGAAATGGCACTGCCGAGAAAGGTACTAAGCACATCCCATCACGAACATTCAGTCTTTTAATCATACACCAGAGAAGCAAAGGCTTTACTTTTACATCTTTTACTTTAATTTCATTATGGCACCTTGGTGGCAACGGCATTCAATTCCTTGCGCCACGCCGTCTCCCTTGCAGATTCGAATTCGTACCTATGCCATGGCCTACTTTTCTTCAAAATATCTGCATCACAAGCCGAGTTGCACCGATGATGAGGAAGCAATAGACCAGCAACAGAATAAACACTCCCAGCGTCGTCCATTGTTGACCTAGCTCCATCGATCCACTGAGTGGAGATACCACTAGTTTTTGCGGTGCTGACATTTGCTTCTCTATTATGCCTCAATCGACGACACATCATACAGCCAATATATAACCGCAACACGTTCTTGCTATTTCTTGCTACCATTGACTTAGTCTTCACTGCCCTTTCCTGAATTAGATGCCACTCACATTTCATGCCCAAGCCACCCCCCAAATGGCATGCGTAGAGGTTGGCATAGTTCAAATTGGTACCCGTCAGCACACAGCTGGAAAGGGCACACTGCGCTTGCTGATAGCCCTTGAGCCACGGCACCAGCTCCTGGGTGTATAGGGAAAAAGCACACCAAAGGCACACCAAATGTGGCACAAAGCACCCATGGTATCCCATGGTTCCATGTGCACCTTGTAACATCTTGTAACCTGTATCTTACATTTGTCTCATTTGTCTATCCAACCCATCCCATCCTATCCCCCATCCTCTCCTGCGGGCTGCGTCCAGCTATGAGTCGCCCGGCGGCGCAGAAGGCCATGGATGGCGCGGGGACGGCTGCCTGGGCCTCGGCCATGGCAGGACAGGCAGGTCTAAGAGATATCAAAAATGCAGGCACTTCATGGGATTTTAGAGGAACTTTCTGGGATTGTCTTGGGATTTTATGGGAACATCAGGGGTTTTATTGGGGATACATGAAATGTATTGTGGTAAATCCAGTGGGAGAATCTGTGATTCATGAGGGGATAACCAAGAGTAGTGGATGGTGCATGCATGATTGATGGATGATGTGGTGAACCCAATGCTATAAACAATCTCAGCAACCAACCCTTTGGGGGTTCACATAAAATGTCATCCCACACAGACCCAACAATAAACCCCAATTGGATCTAGAATATCAAATCTAGTACCACACCTATTTTCACAGGATTTTACTTGTCTATCTTTTTTGGGGCTCACCGCAGGCAGTGCCCAGGTGCTTTCTCGCTGGCCTGAAGCTGCAGGACCAGAGCTGCCAATCGAGCCTGGCGGATCGAGGTCAGTCGAAAGCCAAGGGCAACATTCAGAGTCCATGCCTCACACCAATGGTTATGGCATATGGTATGGCATATGGTATGGTTATGGTCTTGGTATGATGTATGAAGATGTATGAGGATACCAATGTTGAACCATAACCACAACCAATCCACCAATGTAGGTGATCTCACATCAACAGCGGCACTTTGGCACGTCTCCCACCTTGCACTTCTCTGGTGAAGCTTCTGGTCCAATACAGGGCAAATCATCTGGAGAAATCTGCGGCCGCGGGGATCAACGGATCAACTTTCAACCTCCCTGGAAGCTGGTGATGACCCCGGCATCGTGCCCAAAATGCAAAATCAATGTGGACCAGAGAATTCCCATGGTTGAATCTGACCAAATCGATCAATGGACACGGCGTGCAAAATCATGTCAGTGTAGTGTCAACTCAGGATTAAGAAACTCTTTTGATTCAATAGATAGGTTACCCCCACAAAATAGTGATAAATTGCATTCAAGTACTACTACATACATCGTATTATTCCATATTAAATTCATCAAAAACATGCGTCAACGCCTCCATGACACTGCAGCGTGTGGACCAGTTGGAAGCACCTCCCCAACTGACCACGGTGGCTTGGAAAACAAGGCGATATGCCTAATTATAGAGGTTTAACATGGTAAACTATGGATATTGAATATGGTAACATGATGTCAAATAGGTGATCAATAAACAGCCTAGTTAGTTTACCATATTTACTTTGATAGGGAAAATGATGAGAAAATGATGACAAAGTAAATATGGGGGTGTCCTACAGTAAGTCATGGGCATACCCCCAAATCACCAAATCACGCATTTTTTTGAGGGATTTTCCATGACAAAAACCATCCAGCTCCTTGGGGTATCCCCATGGCTTAGGGGCTTAGGAAACCACCAAATCGGTGTGAATAATGACCACCATCACTTTGATGGACAGCAAAAGTTTCGTCATATTCTGTTTGCAGCAGCCAAGGTTCTACCCAGGTCAGACACAAAGTGCTGCCCAGCCACAGAGTGCAGCATCTTCGAACTGTTCCGCTTTCAAGTCCACGCCTGGAGAAGTTTAGGGGGGAAAGAAAGCTGGGCCTTTGCTAAAGATGTGGGAACAACCATTGGACAACCATTGGACAACCCCTTAAAGGTTGTTGAATCGCAGCCACTGCTCTTGCATATCTTGGATGGTGCGTGCAGGTGCCTTTCGCAACAACATGTCTTTGTAGTTTCCCCAACTTGTACAGCAAATGATGTTCTTCAACTCCCGGGTTCAGCCAAACTGCCCTCGGCTGACGGTCGCTTCAATGGCACGATCGACCCGGGCTAAGGTCGATCGTGCAAGGTGGAATCAAACAGCAAAGCTTTGGATTTAAGTTGAGAAACTGGCTGACCATAGCTTCTACTCACTGATAAAGCGGCAAATGCTTTGTATGCCTTCACAATCCTTCACAAATGAATACAACTGCTATAGACATCGATTCTATCCTATCTATCCTTAGGTCCCGTATGGTCAAAGGACCCAATTCATCGTAACTAGTCACGAGGCCACGAGGTCAAGTTGTGCCCATGGTCCAATGGTCCTGGGGTGTCTGCGACGAGCTGCCCCAGTTTTGGAGCGTCTTTGACGAGCACCTCCTCTGGTTGCGCGGCTGAAGCAAAGTAGAGGCCCACCAGAAGTAGCTCCTGACAGCTGTCGCATGCTGTCGCGGCGGTTGCAACACCATGCAGGCCTTAAAATTGTTAAATGTGTGCAGGAGATTTCTTGTGAGAATATAACATAGTTGTAGGATGTTGTAGTGTCAGGTTCATGGAGCACCAAACAGGGCGGGCCTGAGACTTCAAGTCATGCAAACACCTGGCACCATGGGAGCTTCATGGAGCGAAGCGGCTGTCAGCAAAATGTCAAGACTTTAGGACCAGTTCCGTGATCAACACAGATGATTAGTTTAATTCACGTCTTCCATCTTTTTCTTGCATAGCCAATGCCACACCCAACATGGAAAAGACGTCTCAAATGTCTATTTTGTCTCTCCGGCCTGAAGAACTCCGGGGAATCCCGCAAATCATACCAATCCTTGGCTTTGATCCAAAAGAGGCCTCCTGAACGATTCTAGGAAAGCTGGAGAGGACAAAGTGGAAGAAACCAGGCATATTGGAGCTCTCTGATCATGCACTACTAAACTGCCAAGACATAAACAAAACTAGCCGGCCCTCTAGTGACCACCTCTCTCGCTTATCGACTGTCGGATAATGGTACATTGGCTGAAAGGTTTCAATATGTTTCAATCCTTGCTATAGTCACTAGACAAGTCGCAAGCGCAGTTAACGTCTCAGGAATCTCCGGGCATTTTGCACCCAAATCATCTGCCCGTGCCTAGGTGTGAACAGGGAAAGTGCATGTGGGTGTGGGTGGATGCTGTACGACACGGCAATGATACGGTGAAACTTTGTCCCACAACAAGGCCTTCCCCAGATGTCCTCCAGACAGTGTCACCATGTGTCACCCGTCTTGTCACCAAGGTTCGAGACAGAGCAAAGGCCAAAGGATGGTCCACATGGAACAGCTTCGCGTCCATTGGAAGCACAACTCTACCAGTATGATTGGAAGACCCATTGATTCCCTGGAAAATCTGGAAATTGATACCAACCATCATAAGCGGCTGTGTCGACTCATCAACAGCCTTGGCAGTGTCTAGTAAATTTTGGCATTCGACTCTATCATCGTTTCACTTTGAGTTCAAAGTTCCAGCGGTACAGATCTTCTTTGAGTTCAAAGGGAGACTTCCATCCATCATCTTCGGTCTTGCAGTGCCTTTGTCTCATGGTGACCCACTGGTGCAGTCTTTCTCCGCCAAGCCGACAAGGTGTGCTGCACTCAGTGCAGCCAGAATGGGGAAAAGGTGGGGTGCTTGGAGTCCTGTAAAGTACCCCAGCAGAAAGGTTGAAGGGAGACAGGCCCTCTCATATCAGGGTTTGCTTCTGCTTCAAGGCTTCATTCGTCATTTTGATTCATTTTGCATAAAATGACATTCATCAGGTCTTCCAGTATCCCTTCTGACTTCCGATGCGCTCCAAAAGCTCCACAAAGGGAATGATGAAAAAGTGCGCCCAAAACAACGGATTCGCGAGGTGAATCATCATGCAGTGATGAATGATCTTAGGTGTCATTCACCAGGTCAGCGACAGGTCAACCATGGGCAGGGAAGACATGGACAATACATGGACATCAACTCATCAAAGCAATATGTGAAACAAAAACAACACATTTCCTGCAGCATAGTGCCACTACGTGCCACGTTGACCCATCCCTGGTCTCTATAGCACTTGGTAAATAAACATGAATTAACGAGCTGCGTGCAACGCATGGCCGCCAGTCGACTGGCAAGGCACTGCAGCCTTGCACAGATACCGAAAGCCGGGTCCAGTTTCACTTGTCTAGCAGTCAAACAGTATTGGGCACGGTGTTTGATTGCTTGCAAAAAATATACTTTGAAGCACATCCGTACCAATACCAAGAATGCATCTGTTCTGAGTTGTGGGAACATATCTGCCGAGGCCTAGACGCCCCGGACGGGACCTGTGCAGGGGGTGTTCCCACTAGGCAGGCTTAGGCAGAGCTTCATCTTCACAAATCACGGGGTGAAGGTTGTTCCTCCTGAAGTGTGGTCGGATTGACCACCGAAACTGACGCTGGCTTCTGAATCATCTGAATCTTGTCAGTTACTACCGAATTGACACGCCAATTTATGGGTCAACTACAATGAGTCACTTTCAACATTTGATTCGGTAGTCAGTAACATTGTAGTCCTGATTATGGTCAGTTCCTTTAAATCTTACTACTGTGGTACACCCAATAATGAATCATCCCCAAAATCACCAAAAAAGTGGGTGGTAACATCACAAAATGGCAGGGTTATTGTTGGGTTTTACCACATTAACCACATTACAAAATGCTAGGGTTATTATTGGGTTCAACCACATTAACCCCCAAATGGATAGTTAATGGGATGGTTTATTGTTGGTCTTACCACATTCGTCATGATCAAACATCATCCATCTCCTCTTGCACCTCATCAGTTATATCCTGACACGAGGCGCTCCAGCGATTTGCCGCGGGCCCGCTCACTCCAAAAATATCAAACATGTTACGTACGTATGATAGATATGGGGTTAACATGGATAACATGGTGACCCAATTTTTTGACCCATACCATCCCCCATACCAATTTTCACGGGCAAACCAAATAAACCCAGCCTGATCTTTGTCTGGAGACTCTTCCTGCACCATGGGTCAGCCCCGGAAGAATTGGGCAACTGGTGCACCTCAAACCTCTCAATCAATTTTTTCAAAAAATGAGCACCAAATGTTGTAGCGGGGACGGGGAAAGAAGGAAAGACAAAGGAGGTGGTGGAGGATCGAGAAGTAAAACAAAGTTGTGCGTGTGACAAAGTTGTGTGTGAAAGATGGTGTGTGTGAAAATTGTGTGTGAAAGAGAGCGTGTGACAAAGTTGTGTGTGAAAGATGGTGTGTGTGAAAGTTGTGTGTGAAAGAGAGCGTGTGACAAAGTTGTGTGTGAAAGATGGTGTGTGTGAAAGAGAGCGTGTGACAAAGTTGTGTGTGAAAGATGGTGTGTGTGAAAGTTGTGTGTGAAAGAGAGTGTGTGACAAAGTTGTGTGTGAAAGTTGTGTGTGAAAGAGAGCGTGTGACAAAGTTGTGTGTGAAAGATGGTGTGTGTGAAAGTTGTGTGTGTGACAAAGTTGTGTGTGAAAGATGGTGTGTGTGAAAGTTGTGTGTGAAAGAGAGCGTGTGACAAAGTTGTGTGTGAAAGAGAGTTGTGTGTGTGTGTGAAAGTTGTGTGTGAAAGAGAGTGTGTGACAAAGTTGTGTGTGAAAGATGGTGTGTGACAAAGTTGTGTGTGTGTGTGAAAGAGAGCGTGTGACAAAGTTGTGTGTGAAAGATGGTGTGTGTGAAAGATGGTGTGTGTGTGTGTGAAAGTTGTGTGTGAAAGAGAGCGTGTGACAAAGTTGTGTGTGAAAGATGGTGTGTGTGTGTGTGGGTTGTGTGTGAAAGAGAGCGTGTGACAAAGTTGTGTGTGAAAGATGGTGTGTGTGAAAGTTGTGTGTGAAAGTTGTGTGTGAAAGAGAGCGTGTGACAAAGTTGTGTGTGAAAGATGGTGTGTGTGAAAGAAAGTTGTTGTGAAAGAAGAGCGTGTGACAAAGTTTTGTGTGTGAAAGAATGTGTGTGTGTGAAAAGTTGTGTGTGCAAAGAGAGCGTTTAACAAAGGTTGTGTGTGACAAAGTTGTGTGTGAAAGATTTTGGGTGAAAGATTGTGTGTGACAAAATTGTGTGCGAGAAAGATTGTGTGTGACAAAGTTGTGTGTGAAAGGTTGTGTGTGAAAGATTGGGTGTGTGAAAAATTGTGTGTGTGAAAGATTGTGTGTGTAACAAAGCTGTGTGTGACAAAGTTGTGTGTGAAAAATTGTCTGTGTGACAAAGTTGTGTGTGAAAGATTGTTTGTGACAGAAGGGCGTGTGACAAGTTGTGGTGTGAAAGATGGTGGGTGGTTGAAAGTTGTGTGTGAAAGAGAGTGTGTGACAAAGCTGTGTGTGAAAGATGGTGTGTGTGTGTGTGTGTGAAAGTTGTGTGTGAAAGAGAGCGTGTGACAAAGTTGTGTGTGAAAGATGGTGTGTGTGAAAGTTGTGTGTGAAAGAGAGCGTGTGACAAAGTTGTGTGTGAAAGATGGTGTGTGTGTGTGAAAGTTGTGTGTGACAGAGAGCGTGTGACAAAGTTGTGTGTGAAAGATGGTGTGTGTGAAAGTTGTGTGTGAAAGAGAGCGTGTGACAAAGTTGTGTGTGAAAGATGGTGTGTGTGTGTGAAAGTTGTGTGTGAAAGAGAGCGTGTGACAAAGTTGTGTGTGAAAGATGGTGTGTGAAAGTTGTGTGTGAAAGAGAGCGTGTGACAAAGTTGTGTGTGAAAGATGGTGTGTGTGTGTGTGAAAGTTGTGTGTGAAAGAGAGTGTGTGACAAAGTTGTGTGTGAAAGATGGTGTGTGTGAAAGTTGTGTGTGAAAGAGAGCGTGTGACAAAGTTGTGTGTGAAAGATGGTGTGTGTGAAAGTTGTGTGTGAAAGTTGTGTGTGAAAGAGAGCGTGTGACAAAGTTGTGTGTGAAAGTTGTGTGTGAAAGAGAGTGTGTGACAAAGTTGTGTGTGAAAGATGGTGTGTGTGTGTGTGAACCATCTGGAAAGATGTAAAACTTCTAACTTAGCAGGGGGCCGCTGGGGAACATTGCAGTCAGCGGCCAACGAAGACGCTGCAATGTTCCTGTGAAAACGTACCTGCAATTTTCCAGTTTTTCGTCGATGGCAACCGGCTAAGCCAAGAACCGGCATGTCGGTTTTCCAACAGTTTCCAAACTACTGTACGGTTTTCGCAATCTGACTGAGCTGCATCAGAACAAGTAAATCCTTCGAGCAAGGACGTAGAAAGATTTCCTCGCACAGTTTCTCACTTCCAACCATCAAACCATTCCTGTCAGGTTTAACTGAAGTGTTTTTGCACGTGCGATGCATTCCACATCAGTAATTCGATAAGATGTTTCTGAGCAAGTGTGTCACTCATGCCGATATCCGTCAAGGTGGTATGAGCCCTTCGGGGAAAGCCTTTCTAGGCTACCAATTGACGGTAAAACGATGTCTGAATTTACACTTTTGAATTAGTAATTCGTTTAAGTAAAGTGAGCAGCCGGCCTTTTTTCCTTGTCTCACCCGTCGATGTCGTTGTGTTGAACCGCTGGCCGCTGTGCTTGGCCTCACCCTTTTCCTTTTCTCATTTGTCGATGTCGATGTGTTGAACAGCTGGCCGCTTTTCCTGGCCTCACCATTTTCATTGGACAGCCAATGCATAGTCTTAAGCTGCGACAACAACCTTCCTGTTGTTTCAAGAGACAGCCACTCCGCAGCCATTTACACATGATCAGGTAACAGGACATGCTTTCAAGGTGTGGTATCTTTCTTTTTTTGGTTTCTCGGTGAGGTTGAAATTGTGCACCTAATTCAGGGGTTGAACACGTAAGCCGTCCAGAGGGTTGTGACTTGAATGCCGAGGGCCTTTGAGCCTTATCACGAATTCTGCATGCGTTGTGGATGCATCATGTCATTAACTAGTTCCCCATGGGTCCCTATTTCATGTGTTCTTGCGTTCTCCTCTCTCCAGGTAGGTTTGGCCCGTTGCGTGCTGAGGTTGTTGTAGGTTTGCGCCGTGTCAGGTTGGTTCAGGCGCTTCTGTCTTCCCCCTCCTCCGCTGGTCTTGTTCCGTTTTCCGTCGGCCTCCGCTTTTCTTTTCTTTTCCCTTGCCTTTCCAGGGTTGCCCGTTTTGGGCTAGGTTTCATGTGTTGGTGTTTGCTCTTTCCCTCTTCTTTTGCGTTCCCCTCTTTGCGTCCTGGTTAAGTAATTTTCATCTCATTGTCATCTTCACCTCATTTTCATTTCCCTTCTTCTTCATTTTCATCTCATTGTCGGGACCTTAATTTCCCACCCTCCTGCGGGAGGGTGTGTGTGTGAACCATCTGGAAAGATGTAAAACTTCTAACTTAGCAGGGGGCCGCTGGGGAACATTGCAGTCAGCGGCCAACGAAGACGCTGCAATGTTCCTGTGAAAACGTACCTGCAATTTTCCAGTTGTTCGTCGATGGCAACCGGCTAAGCCAAGAACCGGCATGTCGGTTTTCCAACAGTTTCCAAACTACTGTACGGTTTTCGCAATCTGACTGAGCTGCATCAGAACAAGTAAATCCTTCGAGCAAGGACGTAGAAAGATTTCCTCGCACAGTTTCTCACTTCCAATCATCAAAACATTCCTGTCAGGTTTAACTGAAGTGTTTTTGCACGTGCGATGCATTCCACATCAGTAATTCGATAAGATGTTTCTGAGCAAGTGTGTGAAAGTTGTGTGTGAAAGAGAGCGTGTGACAAAGTTGTGTGTGAAAGATGGTGTGTGTGAAAGTTGTGTGTGAAAGAGAGCGTGTGACAAAGTTGTGTGTGAAAGATGGTGTGTGTGTGAAAGTTGTGTGTGAAAGAGAGCGTGTGACAAAGTTGTGTGTGAAAGTTGGTGTGTGTGAAAGTTGTGTGTGAAAGAGAGCGTGTGACAAAGCTGTGTGTGAAAGATGGTGTGTGCGAAAGTTGTGTGTGAAAGAGAGCGTGTGACAAAGTTGTGTGTGAAAGATGTGTGTGTGAAAGTTGTGTGTGAAAGAGGTGTGTGACAAAGTTGTGTGTGAAAGAGAGCGTGTGACAAAGTTGTGTGTGAAAGATGGTGTGTGTGAAAGTTGTGTGTGAAAGAGAGCGTGTGACAAAGTTGTGTGTGAAGATGGTGTGTGTGGGGTTGTGTGTGAAAGAGAGCGTGTGCAGATGTGTTGTGAAGAGAGTGTGTGTGTGTGGTGAAAGTGTGTGTGTGAAAGTTGTGTGTGAAAGAGAGCGTGTGACAAAGTTGTGTGTGAAAGATGGTGTGTGTGAAAGTTGTGTGTGAAAGAGAGCGTGTGACAAAGTTGTGTGTGAAAGATGTGTGTGTGTGAAAGTTGTGTGTGAAAGAGAGCGTGTGACAAAGTTGTGTGTGAAAGATGGTGTGTGTGAAAGTTGTGTGTGAAAGAGAGCGTGTGACAAAGCTGTGTGTGAAAGATGGTGTGTGTGAAAGTTGTGTGTGAAAGAGAGCGTGTGACAAAGTTGTGTGTGAAAGATGGTGTGTGTGAAAGTTGTGTGTGAAAGAGAGCGTGTGACAAAGCTGTGTGTGAAAGATGGTGTGTGTGAAAGTTGTGTGTGAAAGAGAGCGTGTGCCAAAGCTGTGTGTGAAAGATGGTGTGAAAGATGGTGTGTGTGAAAGTTGTGTGTGAAAGAGAGCGTGTGACAAAGTTGTGTGTGAAAGATGGTGTGTGTGAAGTTGTGTGTGAAAGAGAGCGTGTGACAAAGTTGTGTGTGAAAGATGGTGCGTGCGAAAGTTGTGTGTGAAAGAGAGCGTGTGACAAAGTTGTGTGTGAAAGATGGTGTGTGTGAAAGTTGTGTGTGAAAGAGAGCGTGTGACAAAGCTGTGTGTGAAAGATGGTGTGTGTGAAAGTTGTGTGTGAAAGAGAGCGTGTGACAAAGTTGTGTGTGAAAGATGGTGTGTGTGAAAGTTGTGTGTGAAAGAGAGCGTGTGACAAAGCTGTGTGTGAAAGATGGTGTGTGTGAAAGTTGTGTGTGAAAGAGAGCGTGTGACAAAGTTGTGTGTGAAAGATGGTGTGTGTGAAAGTTG